ACTTTATGTTAATCATTTTACATAAAAATAAAATATCAACATATTCAAATAAATAATACAAATAAAATGACAAATGAGAAATAAGAAAACCTAAAACAAAAAGATGATACCTGGATAAATGTGGTGTGGTGGTAGCTGACATTAAATGATGACTTACTTTTACAGCACTCAGCTACTTTTCACTCCCACCAATTTTACACCTTCGGGCGAACATTTTCCTTTCAGATCTCATCCCTCCACCTTCAGGCCATCACATCTCTCCTATGCTATCTTCTTTCATCTTCTCCTTTGATTTCCCTTTTTTCCTTTCTTCTTCTTCGATTTGGGATAGTCTATTAGTTTTTTCCCCCACCCACACAAGTGTGTAACAAACTCAGGCCATCTGTATTTTGCAAAGCGTTCCTTGTTTCTAGTTTTACGTTGGCTTCTAATTCCAACGTTCGCTTAAAGCGGCTCAAAATAGCTCAAAATGGCAAGGCGGGCCAATCACGTGGAACAAGCTAGAAAGTATTCTTGTAATCGGCCGGACTGGTCTGACCATCCGGTTTAGTCCGATTTTTAATCATTATTTTTGTGTTTTTTTTGGTCAAAAAATCATTACTTTTATGTTTAAAGGATAAAATTCATTGGAAGCGTCTTATTAAAAAATTAATTACGCAAAGGTATTTTAAAAGTTCAGGTTTTGAACTAATGCAACTCATTTTTAGTAGATGTAACTTTTTTCTAGTTATATACAACATATTTTCAGTTAGGTGCAAAGATTTTTTGTTTTGCATATGGTTAAATGGTCTGTTTGGATTAGCAGTACAAAATAACTTATTTTCAATATGACTTTTAGAAAAGTAGATTTGGTCAAAAATCATTACTTTTATGTTTAAAGGATAAAATTCATTGGAAGCGTCTTATTAAAAAAATTAATTACGCAAAGGTATTTTAAAAGTTCAGGTTTTGAACTAATGCAACTCATTTTTAGTAGATCTAACTTTTTCTAGTTATATACAACATATTTTCAGTTAGGTGCAAAGATTTTTTGTTTTGCATATGGTTAAATGGTCTGTTTGGATTAGCGGTAACAAAATAACTTATTTTCAATATGACTTTTAGAAAAGTAGATTGGGTAAAAGTCAGATTGATTAATGTAATTTATGTTTGGATTAGCTTTTATAAAAATTAGTTTGTAAAGTAGGAAAGTATTTTGGATTATGATTAGATAAGTAAGTTTAGTTTGTAGAATGACAAAAATAGGTATGAATTTTATTAATAATAAAAAATTATTAAAAATATGATAATGATAAGGAAAAAGCTATATTTAATGAATAAAATATATTTGAATTAGAAATCATAGTAATATGAAAATTTTTAAACGAAATAATATTATATAATAAATTAGATGATATACTTTGTACCGTTTATGTAAATACAACATGAAAAATAATATTAAAAAATAAAAACATTATAAAAAATATGTTACAAATTATTTTTATTTAAAAATTATTAAGAATAAATAGCTAAAAACTGGTTGGGAAGCACAAAGAATATGCAAAGAAAAGTATAAGGAAAATAAAAATATAAGAACAAAAATGTCTTGATTCTAAAAAGTTATTTTTGCATAAATCATAAGTAAATTTCAAATACTTTTGCAATCATACTTACAAAAAATAACTTTTGTCGCATAAGCAAAATTAACCAAAAGTTAATCCAAACACCTTACAAAATGCTAAATGTGAGTTTGGCTTTCAGAAGTTGCTTTTCACACAAAAATGTATCCAAACAAGACAAATTTGTATATAAGTGAAGAAGAGTTTCAACATAGGTTGCTCTGTATCCTTAAAGGCTTAAACAAATTTCCTATACCTTTTAACAATTAATTTTTTAGTCAATAATTTTTTAGGAATTTTTCTTCTCAACATCTAATTAATTTCTTCCCCTCACATGATAATGCGAGAAGTATATTTAAGTCATGTTTGTCATCAGAATTAAAATTATTTATAAACACATTTTATATAAGTTGAGATTTTCATATATTTATCTCGTATTTCATAAATCACAACTAAAAAACTACTTATAAACTATTCTAAATAGAATCTTAAGTCAAGAATCTAAATAAACAAATTCACTTTTTTTTTCCAGGATTGTAAGTTATACATTAGTATGACTTGCCACCAGACGACAAAAGTCAGTCAATTGGGATAGGTTTCAATATAGCGTCCATGTTCTTTTTCTAATCTTGATAATCCAGACAAAAACGTCACTTCAATCTTCTCTTTTTTGGTCCTTAAATTATTATTCAACATTTTATCCCTCAACTTGGTTTTGATTTATAAATTGTAACTTATGTTTCTTTTTCATATATCTATTTTATTTATAAAATTATGATTTTTTAAATATAATAGGGACTTGAATTATGCGGAAAATCGATTAAAATCTATAAAGTATGGATGTGATGATTGGGTGTGTAGACGCATTAAAAAAAGTGGTGGAAATTACTGAACGGAACTGAGACTCCCAAAGAATATAGGGTTCAAATCATACTACCTCCAATTTTGAGAATATTAGTTTAATTATCCTAATAAATACGTCTTAGTTTTTTTAAGCTATTATTTTTAATTATGTACATTAGACCAATATCTTAATTGATAATCTCTTTATATATAATTAATAGATATATTTTGAATAAACGATATTATAAATTTCAGAATAAACTTTTTGTTTAATTCTTATATTTTGAATTAGAGACAGCATATCAAAACCACCGTACCATACATATGTAATATGTATTACATCTATGCATATTTTTTCCTAATTTCTCCACCGAAATAAGTTCATAATGGGAGAACCTCACTAAACATCAAGTAATTATCGCAGCTACAGGTCGGGTGTTCAAACATGAGACTAGTGATTAAATTGGAACAATTTATAGCCAATCAATCCAAGCGCTCGTAGGTATCTATGCATATGTTTAAATTTTCTGCTCAAAACTTAGAATTTTGGGAAATTATTTGTATATAAGTCAAAATTTGATGCTATATACATATAAAAATTAAATTTAAAATAGTATAAGATTAATGATCAGGAGGGTTTTTCATTGGTTTTGAAGGTTAATAATATCATTTGTAGATTATTTAAAATTTAAACGAATTTTGTGCAATTTATTCTAAATTTTAAAATTATTATTAATGAAATGTTTCTTCTTTCCAATTTTTTTCACTATTAACTATATTAACGGTAGAGTTTTCAAAACTATTATGCAGCTCACAGTAAACAAGAAAAAGGATGATATTTAGAAAGAAATAGTTAAACTTCCAAGATCAACTATATTTTGATAGAAAACTATTTTTAGGAATTGGCTTATATTTATTATTAGAGAGAGTATTTGTATCACTGTTTAGTATGTACTCACCCAATTATCCATATTGATTTAAATTTGAGCAGTAAAACAGAATAATGTTAGATTTTTCATCTAAAAGGGAAAATCTCAAGGATATTTCTAATAATGCATTAATTTTGTATTTTTTTTGGTCCCATAATATTTGTTGTGCTGAAAAGAAAAAAAAATATTTTGTAGGCTGACACAAGTTTTTAAATAAGTTACATTATGTTTGGTTGGGAAGAAATTTAAGGGGAGGAGAAAAATAGGGGAGAAAATGGAGGAGAACATGAATTTTTTTTTTTGAATTAGATAAGCAAACACAGAGAAAAAAATGATAAGAAAAAAAAGTGTGGGTCTCATATATTTTTCTCCCCAAATTTTCTTCCTAATATTGGAGAGATTTTGGAGGAAAACTTTCAATATGTATATAAAGGTATTCTTGTAATTGTAAATATCATGCATTTTTTCTCATCTTTCCCCCCCCCCAAAAAAAGTAGCATCTAGATAACTAGAAACTAATCCTCTCAAAATGTAAAAACTATTAAAATGGGTTCTGCCTATCCAAATATAAGAAAAGATAATATTATTTCTTCACTTTTTTCCTCCTTCTATTTTCCCCCTCTATTTTCTTCTCTCCAAATTTTCTCTCAATCTCAATCCAAACATAGTGTTAATATCTATAATTTTTTTCCTTTTAAAGAGTTTGTTATTGCTAAAGTAAATGATTGACGTTTTAATGTTAAAACAGATACATGTATCTCGTGGCCAAAAATAAAAAAAGAGACATCCATGTCAATGGAAAACGACTTCTGCTCCCCAAATTTTTTTAATGAAATTAAAATTAAAATTATAGTAATAATAAAATGAGATTACATATTGCATGCAAATATTACATATTACATATTTATAAAATTAATGATTTGGAAAACTTTTCCCTGACATTAGATGCGTATCTAGCCAGATGACATATTGTTATGACGAGAGATTGGTATTATTCTTATTAATACAAATAACCTTTACATTTTTCTTATGCAATCTACAGGAGTCACTCTTGTAAATAAGGGTTTATTTGAAATGGCGATAAGAGCGTTTAAAAGTATATTTTTAATCATAATTTATAAAATATAAAGTATATATTTGAAGAGAGTTTTATCTGGACTTATTTAAAATAAACACTTAAAAGAAATAGGTCTAAAAATTCAGTATAAGGCAGTGTGAAAACATAAGTGTAGAAAAGTGCCACATCCCAAGTAGCAGATAATAATATGATATGGAGCTCGTCCATGAATTTTCCCGTCGTGTCTCATTCCCCAGGTTTATCTACAATCATTTCAATCATCTGCATCTTCGAATATTTCATTGCATATATTTTGTTTTCAAACATACCTTTATTAATAAAAAAGAACAAATAAAAAATGCAATAAATAAATTGAAAAGGAAAGAAAATATACCTTTATTAAGCCATAGCATTCTGAATTTTCGTACGGTAGAACCTATCCGGAGAAAGTTTTGGACTTTTGGTGCGTCTCTAGTGGCACGAACTTTTTTCCGGCTTCCCCCGCTCGATCGACCGCCCAATTCTTGGTGGAAGACTTTGTTGGAGGATCTGAATTTCTGAATGCAACTGAAGATGTCATTTTGGAGAGCTCCTTCACGGTATTTCTTCTCCCGATTTCCTTTGTTTTCTGCGGCTTCTACGTCTTCCTTCCTTCTTCCTCCCTCACATGCCCCGACTCTCCGTTTCTGTTTCCATTCCAATTCGACAAATCCTCAGAATATTGAAGAGGCCGTCTCTTCTTTTAATCGCTTGCTTCATGTGCGCCCCCGAACCTCGATGATACAAATTAATAAGATCTTAGGAGCTCTTACAAAGTTGAAACATCATCGAACAGTTATCTCCCTTTTTGCACAATCGGAATCTAAGGGATTCACGCCAACTCTGGTAACGCTGAACATCTTGATTAATAGTTACTGCCATTTGGGTCAAATGGCTTCTGCTTTCTCTGCCTTAGGCAAGATTCTTAAGATGGGCTGTCAGCCAGATACGATTTCTTTGAACACACTGATGAAGGGCCTTTGCATCAATAATGACGTTGGAAAGGCCTTGGATTTTCATGACGATCTGGTAGCAAAAGGATTTCAGTTAAATGCAATTAGCTATGGCACACTGATCAATGGACTATGTAAGACTGGAAAAACAAGAGCTGCCATTAAATTCCTCATAAAAATGGCGAGAGGGCCAGTTAAGCCTAACTTAGTTATGTATAGTACGATTATTGATGGCTTTTGCAGGAAAGACTCATAACTGAAGCTTGTGATTTATTTCATGAAATTATTGATCACGGAATATCTCCTAATGTTGTAACCTGCAGCTCTTTGATACATGGTTTTTGTGTCATGGGTAAACAGGCAGAAGCTACAAAAGTGTTCAATGAAATGATACTTCAAGGCATCAACCCTAATGTGTATACTTTTAGCATATTGGTTGATGCATTTTGTAAGGAAGGAAGTATGACTAAAGCTGAAGCTTTTGTTGCTATGATGATGAAGTATGGTACAATGCCTAATCATTTTACTTACAACTCTTTAATGGATGGTTACTGTTTGATCAATAATGTTGGTGAGTCAAGAGAATTACTCAATAAGATGGTCAATAGTGGTTTGGCTCCTGGTATTATTACTTATAGCATTATGATTAATGGACTTTGTAAAATCAAGATGGTGGATGATGCCGTGAATCTCTTTAAAGAAATGCGTCATAAAAGCTTGACTCCCAATACTATCATCTATAGTTCCCTTATCGACGGTTTGTTCAAGTCAGGCAGAATCTCTGATGTGCAAGATGTTATTTATGAGATGCATGTTAGTGGCCATACTCCTGATATAATATTTTACAGTATTTTATTAGATGGATTGTGCAAAAGTCAACATCTTGACCAAGCAATTGCATTATTTAAGCAAATTGTCAACCAAGGAATTGGGCCTGATACTTACACATATACCATACTTATTGATGGTTTGTGTAAGGGTAACAGATTAAGTGATGCGCAACAGATTTTCCAGCTTCTTTTGGTTAATGGTTATCCTTTGAATGTCCAAGCATATAATGCTATGATCAAAGGACTTTGTACAGAGCGTTTATATGATGAGGCAAAGGCCTTGCTCTATAAAATGAAAGAGAATGGATGCGTACCTAATGCTATAACTTTTGAAACACTTATTATACCTCTTTTGGAAAATGGTGAGAATGATGAGGCAAAGAATCTTATCGACAAGGTATTCATCAAGGTCTCTTGAAATGATAAAAGAAGGTTTGTCACTCTACTCCATATTTTGTGTTACTGGTGTTCATGATGGACAAGGGTGGCCAATGTGTTTTTTTCAGGGGAAAAAGTTTGGCTGTAGTGATGTTTGGATTTAAGATTTTTTTTTTTTTTCAAGTCATATTTTTTACTTATTTATTTATTACTTTTGTTGTAACTGGTGGTTTCTTTTGTTTTTATGGCTTTACATGAGCTTGATGGAACATGCTCACACACACTAGCATCTATCACCAAAATGACGCCTAGAATTCCTCTTCTCCCTATAGAATTCCATCAGATCAGAGCACTAGACGTACCTCACTCTTGTAATTCCTCTCCTCTCTCACCTTTGGTTGCTTAGTTTCATCAGTTTTGCAAGCGCATCCAAAAAGCTCTATGCACCCTAGAATTTTCAGGTTCATCACTATTTAGGGGGCCTACCTAAGCATGAGAATTTATAAATGCAAAATTTGCTTGTTCCAGGTATGGAACAGAAAGAGAGCATGGCAAATCATTCAATCGACCACATGCCCGACAGAACAAGCAAGATGCTGAAAATTCAACTGGTTGAAGATCTTGTTCTGACTGATTGTAAAGCAAGCAAGTATGTAAAAAGAAGGCTTGATGGAAAACAGGTAATGCATAGTTTTGTGAAGGAATGTAATCATAAGCTTTTACGAACTTAAGCTGTCGGTGAGCAAACAAGAAAGTATTTTGCTGCAATGGCTAGACAGTTCGCTGAATACAAAATCGTGGTTGGTCTGAATTGGGGCCTGGAGTCAGGGGATGCCAAGCTTCTACTTGATTTTTGGGTGCAGATGCACGGTATGAATTCAAACTTCTTTTGCACAGTAGATATTGGTGAGGATCAACGTCATCAACGTCTGAAAAATCTTTTGTGATGTAGTCTTTTTTGACACCATCTATGTTAGAAACAAATATAAGTTGAGTTACCTCTTGTGCTTTTTGTTGGAGTAAATATGCACTATCAATTTATACTGCTTGGGTGTGGCTTAATATCAGATGAAAGTTGTAACATAATACAGAATATCTGTTGTTTATATGGATCTTGTTAATAAATGGTAAAAGGGTTTAGTGTTAAAAATCTTGTAGAGGTGGTTGGTTGTTTGTTTGTTTGTATTCTGATTCTTTGGGCTACATGTTAAGTTTTAATCGGGGTATTGTAGTTTGCCATAAAAATTTTCAAATGTTCTTCATTTTCCATTAGTTCATACTTAATATATCATCAGTCTTTTGCTTCTTTCCTCCCATATGAAAGGAGAAATTTCTACATGTACTCCTTGAAATTAAGATAACTAGTCAAAATTTGTGCATTAGGGGATGCCATTATGCTTTCTGATTGGAGTTTCCTTTAGTTCCTTGCTCATATTTTCCTGGCACTGATGATGACGTGCCATTATAGAGAAGGAATGTATGAAGGACAAAAATCAAGGTATGGCATAACTGTAATGGCTTTGATTCAATTTTTCTATGTGACTTACATGTTAAACTGTGAAAAAAATTACGCCTTTGCAAATTACATTCATATGCTATTTGATACCTTGGACCTTTTGGATGAGCATATAGTTGGTTTGGTTCAAGGATTTATTTTTCTTTGGGTTTAGCTATGGCTTCCTCTTTCTCATCTTCTTCTTAACTGTATGTTTTTGGTAGAAGCATCTAATCCACATGCATCAGGTGACAGTTCTAAGAAGATGAGTGGTCATTAAGAAACAAAAGCTGTAACTTCAGGTAAGCTTTAGTATTGATGGTTTTGGTAGTAACAAGCCTAAAGCACTCTAGTAACTTAAAGGAGCATGCCTTTAAAAAATTTGTCAAACTTATCGCGGCATAATTGATAATTCATAACTACAATATCAGTAAGCCTTATGTTGATCATATATATTGTATAATGCTATTATGCTTTATGAATTACAACTCTATAAACATAATTAAGTATATCTTTATAAGATTAAGGATCATATGCTTGACTGTCCTAAAGAACACCTTTGGCATCCTTCTTGTTTTTTTCCTTTTATATGGGTATTTGACTAGGTTAGATTCGAGCAAAGTTAGGCCCAATTTGGGTTACTTTTCCAAAGATGTTTTTGCATTCACATAGACTCGGACTCGGACTCAAGAACTCGTGCTTAAACAGCTAAAGTCCCTTTCACTATGATCTACACATATTGTTTTTCATTTTTTTCCTTTTAAATGTCTAAATTACTAAATGAATTTTTTGAAGCACAAGGGTGAAGTGATAATTTTATGAAGCACAATTGATGGTTGATAAATATTGAACAAATGAATAGCAATTATGATAATTGATAAATATTAAACAAACACTTTCTGAGATTTTTGTAACCAATATTTTTTTACACGTTTTATTTCTCATCTGAATTGGGTAGAACTTATATTATTACTCCTCCGATCCTTAATATAAGACCCAATTGTTGAGTTGGTTTTGGTCCTAAATAAAGACTCATTTGTCATATTTATCAATTTTCTCTAAATTACCCCTATGAATACTCTCTCAACCATAATCAAGTAGAAGAGGAAGATAGGGTATTATTAGAAAGATGATTATGGTATTTTAAGAAAAATGTGTCACATTTCTTATAATTAACTAACTTACCTAACTTCCTTAATCTAATCAAATTAGTTAAATGGGTCTTATATTAAGAACCGGAGGAGTACTTAGTTATTGAATGAAGTGGACAATTAGAAATGGGAAATCAGTTCATATCTTCACTGTTCAATGGCTCCTCCCTGATAAGTCTTTAAAATCGGTGTGTAGAAAACCTCTGACTTTGGAAGAAGAGCAAAGTAAAGTTGCTGACTCGGCTAATTTTGGTGCTTGGGACTTCCAGTGCCTAGCTCCTATCATTCCCAGTGAAATCTTACCAAGAATTATTTGCATGCTACCTACCTCCAATGCTTGAAGCTGGTGAGAGGATGCTCTTTCTTGAAATGCTACTGCAGATGGCTCTTTTTCTATTACTCGAAACTGAAAAAAGTTTTGTTCATTTGCAGAAAATTGACTTTGTTAAATTGTCTTAACTCCCCACCAAAAGGAAGAGTGGCAGACGAATGAGTAACGTGTAGAAACCTGCCCTTAGCAGGGAACAATAGCTGAGAACTGCTGCTAATACCCGTAGGCTGATGAGGAAAAGGAGGAATCTGCCGGAGGAGAGGCTCACATCTGATATTACTCAAAACTGGAAAAAGTTTTGTTCATTTGCAGAATATTGACTTTGTTCAATTGTCTAACTAACTTCCCACGGCATGCATGGCAACATCAACCCTTGAATTGGGTTAAATTAAATGTTGATAGAGTGATGTCTCCTTCTAGAAACCGAGCTGGTTGTGGGATTTCTCATAGCCTCAGCATTTGTAGTGCGTTTGAAGCAGAGCAATGGGCTGTTCTTAAGGGTTGCTAATGGTTGCTTGGGATTAGATTCCTCCACTGTCAGTTATTTGCTGTTTTAGGGCCTTAGCCCTCTTCTGTATCCGGAAAAAAAATTCTAGTAATTTATTATTTGCTTACCGTCGTATCTGGGAGAGATAATTCTTAGCGTTCGTAACC